AAATTCAAGCCACAACATTTCTCTGCTGCTGATCTGATGGAGAGCAGTCTGGAGATCACCTCGAAAGCGCATGATGATGGCTAATTCATGAAGTTGTTGCACGCATAAAACAACCAGCGTAGAAAATGAAGTGAAATCCCAGACAAACAGTAAGAGTTGCGTGGCCGGTTGCCATGTAGCCCCTAAGTGCACCTGATTAGCACTCCCCGCGGTGAAGTAAAACCCAGCCGGGCTGATATCTACACATTTATATAACAGCAACACTGACTAATATACTGCCTGGGACTGAAAGTATCAGGCTATCGACCCGCCCACCCAAGAGTCATGCTGATGGGTGCAGCGGCTTTAAGAATCCTGAAGGGCCTACAGATGTGGCGGTAGAGTCTTAAATCACAGAGATCAGCTGATGAGTGTCACGAATAATCAGCTCAGAGGACGACTTGTTATGTATCAAAGAAAAGAGGAATCAAAGGGGGAGAGATTAACGAATGCAAATGAGAATGTTCAGATATGCACACTCTCTGATGCCATCTTCAAATGATTTACAGGAGGAGGACATCAGAAACGTTTGCTTTTGAAAAAAGTAAATTACTCAGAGGTGGGTTTGAAGAATTTTACAAATGTCTTTTTATTTCTGGGACCTCCTATGAAGCGTGGAAATGGACTACATCTAAAAATACACTCGTGTTCAGATATACAGCGACATGAAAACGTTTTTTTTTAAATTGGGGAACGGAAAACTCTGGTACTGCCAAATCCATGCTCGCTGTGACAGAAATTTTGTAGCGTAACAAACAGCAGAGCGCCGACAGACAAACTGAAAAACACTTTTATATTTTGCATTTGTAGCTGATTTGAAAACATTGATCATTAATATCCGTGATGTACTTCACAGACAATAAGCAGAACCAGACAAGCCAGTATTGTTTTGTGCTTCTGGGTGATGAACGCTATACATTGTTACCGTTTGCTATCCTGCAGAGTCAAATTGTGATCAGGGAGAGAATTTTCTTTTTAAAAGTACCAATAAATCTACAATATTTAAAGAAAAAAGCACCTTGAGTAGAGGCTGGCTGGAAGAATTACTTTTTCTTTTAATACTGTATGAGCCGCTGGCAGCGTGATATGAATCACATGTTCCAAATGGCCAGTATTTTTCATGTAACACTCAATGGGAATCCCCAATTACAAACCCTTTGTCAAGAGAAGCTGGGATTTTCTTCTACAGTCCACCCACATTTAAAATCGTTTTGGAAAATTGATTTATTTGGTTAAACCTTTGCTGAATAGAAACAAAATAATTTTTGGTTGTGTTTCCACTGACACTTTTCACCTAAACTGATGCTTAAAATGTTCAGAACTAATCAACAAGGCTTTTGGTGAATTCTCCTTTTATACCCAATACTGACCCCCTCACCAAACACCAACTAATCTGCTGCTTTAAGAATCTTCCATTTTTTATCATATATTCTAAAAATTGTTCCCAACACTAACAGATTTTAGATTGGTTGATATCATCAGCGGTATAATAATACAATTACAGTTTAGTTAGAATGGCATAAGTGGTTGCTTCACGATTTTGGTCTTCCTGTAAAGAGGCTGTTGTTTCTATTACAGAATAATTAACCCGCCATCTTCACAATTCCTTTGGTTGAAATCAATTTACCAGAATGTGTGTCAATTTTCCATCATTTATAAACTGTAAAAGCAAAACAGCTAATATTTGCAGATTAAGTGGTTATCAAGCACATTATTCAAACCAGCCAATGCCACCCCCCCCCCCCCCCCTGCCTCCACACTGGCAGCAAGCTCCAAAGCAAAGCCCTCAAAGAGGTAAAAACCTATTTAACCAGCTGTTTAATTCTGAAGCATGCTGTCAAAATATTCACCGCACGAAGTGTGTAGCTCAGACACATCTGAAAACACACAGAACAGGCTGAGGGGGTGTCTACACCACGCACCACTTGTGGGTCAGAAGAAATAAGTACGGGGTGTCTTGCTTATAGAAGACCAATTACTTTACCCTCTGAGGTATATTTTGCCTGTGAATCAATCCTGATATCACATAAATAGTCAATCAAGCTGTTCTTATTTTGTGTGTGAGTCATTCTAATCGAAGTTGTGGGAATAGTAGCAGATAGCTGCAAAAATGAGATCTTAAAATCATACCACTGGGCTCAACAACTAACTGAAGAATGAAGTAATAAGCCTTCAGGAATAAAAAGTTAGATATTTTTTCATCTAAAAGATATTTTGAGAGGGAAAACCTTGGATTTTTTCTGGTATTACTCCAGTGTTGACACCATTGCTTCTTTGTGATTTGTATAGAAGAAAAAAATGCTCTGTTCATTCACTTAGTTTAAGACCACCAATTTCTCCCGGCAGGTGTAGACTAGCATCATCCAGCAACTAACTCAAGACATACGTTGCTTTGGTGTCACTGTTTTGTTTCTGTCACGGATAAAACATCTTAAAAGCCCCTTTGAAAAAGCAGGAATTGAACACACGACAACAACATCTTGCATGATCTTGCAAATGGCGTGTGTCTCTGCTGTCCAGCTTAATTTATGTAGTTAATAAACACAAACAGCCGCAGTCGCACAAAGTGCGACTCTCAAGCTGAGGGGGGGGAATAAATTCAAAGTGGCAGCGCAGTCAAAAGCCTCCGAGGCAGTGACAGTAACACTGGCAGGCAGGTGGGATCGGAGCCGTCTGCTCACCAGTCGCCCCGCCAGACTGACAGCTAACCTCCCGACACGTTTCCTCTCCCGGAACACGTGCACTGAGGCTGAGAGCGGCCTCAGTCACACTCGCCGTTGTGCACGGTGACACAGAGTCCAGACTGGAGCAAATTCGCATAAAAAGCTGCGTGTCTGAGCCCGTTTTGGTTTCCCCGCCTCAGCACACCCAGCCCGGTGTCACCACCTTCATCTAAAGAACGCTTCACCTCAAAGTCTGGAAGTGTTTGTAGCCGGAAGAAATGACTTCAGTTGCAGCCGGATTCACAAAGTAGAGTTTCTGAGTGGGAGATGCCTCTGCGTTGTTTGTTTGTGTGTATGAATACTGATGCTGTCGGGAGATATTTTGAGCTTTTCGATTTCAAAATGTGAGCTTTTTAGTGCATGTTGGCACAAAGAACAACCAGGACCTCGCTTTTATTGCTTGGTCCAGGTAATTTGGGCAGACGTCCAGCTTACGTGGGTCTTTTAGTGTCTTATATCACCCATGGGAAAAAATGCTTCCATTCTACCATCCTGATTAATTAAGTTTACGAAAGGAGAATAATTTTTCCAGGAATATCGTATGGCTGGAGTTACCATTGGGGTTTTAGGGGCAAACAGGATGTAACAATTTCTATTTTTATCAATCAGCTATTTTTTTCTTGTGGTAGATTTAAATAATTTGAATAATAATTTAAATAATTTAAATCTACCGCTGTTTTTACTTGAGCGGAGAGTGAGTGGATGAAAAGAATGGGTCCAGTTGAGCTGCTACAACTGCTTTTGTGAGGCCACAAAATAAAAAGATAAGCAGGTGAGTGATGGCTCTGCTTGTGCTGGTCTCTCTTATTAGGAGGGCCCTGCTTTGAGTTAACAAATCTTGCTTGGGGCTGGAAAATATATAGTTTAAAACAGTGACATAAAGTGTGGTCAAATTCATGCAAAGAGGAAAGTTTTTTGGTCTTGAAATGTACTGGTTATCAAAACAAACCTGACATAAACCTTACACATAATCTTCTGCATGACTCTGTTTTAATACAGGCTAAACCCTTATGCCATTGGAGGCGAGGTGGCATGTTTGTTGGAAGTGGTCGTGGATAATGGATAATTAATACAAAGCTGGATAAGCCCAGGCTGATCATTTAAAATAACCCCAGGGTAGTTAGATGTGCATTTCTAAATATTTTGTCTTCGGTGGTTGATTCTACAGTTTGCTCCTTCCAGTCCCTCATTTCTATGCAGGAGAAGATAAATTACATTAAGATGTTTTGCTGAGTTTGGTTCACATTCTGCTTAAAGCTAATTGTTAGTAGAAAGACAATTTAAAAGTTGAGAAGGACTGTGGAAATCTCTCCTCTAACACCTTCAGTCTTTTGCCAAAAAACTGTTACTTTTCCTAATGATGGTGAATCATTAAATGGCTCAAAAATTGTTCTATTTTTCTACAACTCTGATAAAATTTGCTAATATATACAGGAATCATTACTCCCACATCTTCCTAGTTTCCCCAAACGAATAAAAAAAATCAACATAAAAAAAACTTCCAACACATTCCAAAACACACATTTCTAACTGTGGAAAATACAAAATGAGAAGACACCTTTGATCTCTAACAATTCATTTTGCACATATTTAAGAAAAAAAAAAAAAGGAACACACACATTTTTAGACTGCTGATGACCTCATTCTGACTCATACTCCCTAGTTTTCTCACATACACACCCTCTCACGCAGCAGCGCCGTGTGTAGTGTGTGTCTGCCGGCGCTGATAGGCAACATGTGGTTTGTCCTCAACACTAATCGGCCACACACGTGGTGTGCTGCATGCATGAGCAGCCCACAATATCTTTTTGGTAGGAAGTATGATTGCAGCGCAGGGTTTCCTGTCCCTTCTGGGCTCTGGGGATGTACAGACTCAGAGCTCATAAGTGAGGGGAGGTATCCTTACACACACTCACTCCACCATAGCAACAATGACTCGACATCTTTTCTAATCAGCGCTAAAAGACGCACACTGTACGGCGCTTTAAAAAAAAAGAATTGCACGTTAAAACTGAACAAGTGGAGCACCTGTTGTGTTCCAGGCTGCCAGAGCACATCACCGAACCACACCCAGTACGTCATGACTCACCAGTCCCCCTCTGTTGTCCAGCAGACAGAGGGGCTGGCGCTAAGTGTGAGGGTCACACAAAGGGAGGAGGGCTCATAAAAAGAAGAATCGATGATAAGGACACTCGGGGTGAGACACAAAGAGGGCGAAACCCCCGTGGGTGGACTCACCAGCTCGACCGAACCATAGTGTTTCCTGCTGAAGTCTCCACGCCTGCAGCCCAAGTCCTCTGAGGCAGAGCTGTAACACAAACACATGGTCAGACACATGGGCCCACTCAGCCCAAGTCACAGCACACAGACAACAAACTGCCACATCACTCACACGCAATAACATCTGATTCTGTCTTTATCGCACTTTTCCATCTCAGGCTCCCTATTCATTGATATACTTCATTCAGAGCTGTCCCTCTTGCTTTGCCTCCTTCCTGTCTGTTTCTTTTTCCCCGTCGTGCCGGGGCTGCCGGTGGCATGGTGACTGCCCGGGAGCGCCGGCCAACCCAGTTCTGATTGAGATGTGAGCCCTGATTGAATTAGGCTTCGGTGATAGATTGAGACTGGCTGGGAGAGCCGGCTGCTTCTTAAAACCGTTCAAATACTCTGCACTGCCTTGTTATAATCTTAAATCTTTGAAACAAAAAAAACGCATTCATCTTAGATTTAAGAACAAAACATTACAAAACCTTAAGCGTTTTCCTGATTTCATCGGTGTGGTTATTAAAGTTTCCCCGGATCCAACCACACTGATAAGACTTATGACCAGTGTGTTTTTTCTTTAAAAAAACGAGGAGTTTGACATTTTTGAGACCACACCTATTCATTCTGCTATAGAAGTCTTATATAGTAGACTTCTTTTCTGGAATAATCAATATAAGGTGGAGGCAGCACAGCTACTGTTGCTCACTACAGTTTCCTGTCTTATCCTTTTAGGTTGTAAACACAGCAGGTAATGAATTCTTTAGTAAACATTAGAAGTAATGGACAGAGAAGTTAGATAAAACAGTCCTGCTCAGACTCCACATGAGAGACAGTGAGAATACACGTATCTTATAATTTAACTCGCGACTGGTAAAGTTTTAAAAATATATACTTTAACTCAACCTGTAAGTAATAACTTGTCTTTATCTCTAATTACAGCTAAATTACGAGGGAAACCGGTGACCTGTATATTCTATGTCAGCATTCTGACACAATAGAGTCCACACAGGGACCAGCAAAATGACTCACAGGAACTTTGAAAGACAATCACGTGTGAGCGTAGCAGCAGTGATTTGGGCTACTGCCTCACTGCAGAGCCCGTGTATCACTGCGTACGTTCAGTCATAATAATCACATTACCAATCATCCCAAGACTAAAAGAGAGATGGAGAGCTGGGTATAATTCTAAAATGATCACATAGTCTCCTCATGCAGACGGCTGGTCTCTCAAAGCTCACTTTTAAAAGCATTTTATGCCTTTGAAATACTCAAAGTGATACAAATCCACTCAGAAAATAAGCTATTAATGAAGCAAAATCCATGCCAAATGAAAGTGAATCTCTATACTTGGAATGTTTGTCATTTTGCAATTAAAAATAAATTAAATAGGACAATGCGTACAAAAAGGAAGTAGGCCTATATGATCAACAAAGGGCATCTTGAATGATATTGAAAATGGAAAGCACAGTACACACACATGCTGGTGTGAGACCAGTGTGTGGTGACACCTTGGACATGATATACACAAGTTATTCCTTTACAGGCACACAAAACTAATACCTATCTTGTGTATTTGGTGCCCTTGCCGGGCTTTGTGCATCAGAGGATGGCAACATCCTTCAGATTGCATCTATAATGGGACTTAAGCACAAAATCCCATTTAGTCAATTAATCAATCAGGCATTATTCAATGCAATTCTTTTCAACTCCCACCTCACCCTGTCATACACCACCTCTACCCAATCTTCCAAGTTCAAAGCCTGAATGACTTGTGCTTTGAGAAAACAAACTAATCAAAACCCAAAGAAAAACCCTTAACACCAAAGAACTGATCTCCTCAATCAAATAGATCTAATTTGAGGAAAACGTAGCAGCTGACAGATAGAGTCCACAAATGTTTCATTCCAAAACACTATCTCGCAGCTCTCTGCCAAACACAAACAACTAGGATGGGACATCAGTTTCCATGCCAACATATTGACACAATGAGCCGGTCTTAGCCTGACCAGCCCAGTCCAGTTCTTTGGCTCCACCTCTGTGGTGTTGGCTTGTATCTTTGACTGTCAAAGTGCGCTTTGCTTCCTCTTATTCTCTGGCCTTTGCTTCTATCTCCACCCAACGTTTCCCCTCCCTGGTAAGGCTTCTGTGGCGGCAGAGTGGGGCCGTTAATGCATAATTCACACTGAAGCTTTAAGGACGCATTTGTGAGTCGGTACAAAAGGATGTATCCATTACTGCCCGATAACTCACTCCGGTCCTGGGTCTTGCCTCCTGTGCACAAAAGGTGATTAGGCTGACATACTCCATCACGGCTTCCACCTTTTGGCCTCTTTTTTTTTTCCTACACAGCGCCCAGGCCACAGTCTTTCTCGTCCCCTTAATTTTCTTCTGAGAGCATAGGTCATGAAGAAGACTCCAATGTTGAGAAGGCTGATTGAGTGATTTTACTTCTCCCACATTCCTGAACGAAAAAAAAAAACCCTCTCCCAGTCTTTCTTCTCAATGTTTTATGAGTTCCCGCAATGCGTTAAGGTACTCGAAGCTGAGTAGGTCAGCTTGGAACAATTGGAAGTTGGTAACATTTGGCTTCTTTTGGCTTTTACTCCAACATGTATCGAAGCCTTCAGTTGGCACATTTTGAACCGACAAACGCTCTTTTGAAAAAAAATCCCTCCACTTCCCAGAATGTGACGGTGTCTTTGTGTGCTCTGGAGGACGTTCAATGGCCAATTTTAGCTTTTTCACTTTAATCCAGAGTGCGGCTTTAACACGTGTAAGAGGTGTAAACTGTGTTGCACTAAGAACTATTGTGCTCAGCGTGTTCTCTGTCACACCAAGCAAATGAGGAACTTTCAAGATGCAGTGACACCTATTAAGAGGTACAAGAAGCTGAGAGATTAAAGCGGTTTCAATGCCGGGGAACATACACGTGGCAATAAAGCTGCAGGATCAAAAAACATTCTCAGATTTCCACAACAGTCTGTATGACAATCCAAAGCCATACAATATTATTATACATATCTGAGTTAAGTGTTCAGAAATCCTACATCTAGTACACGCACTGAAACTTCTTTCAGACAGGATTTAGTTCCCACTCTCAATCCTTAACAGTTCTTTTTATCCTGAGTCTGTTTTTTCAATGGTCGTGTATTCTGGCGGGTTCGTTATCTACCATCTACAGAATAATTTGTTTATTCGCCTTTTTAAACATATAGAAAACAGACACTGTTGAATTATCAAAATTTTTAGATCAAAATAATCTAAAACAACAGTAAAGTGGACCAGGAAAGCCCCTTTATCAAAATTAAGTCTAATATCAGCCTTGGCCGTTTCATTTATGAGCAAAAATATCACATTTCACATATTGATGACTCACAAAGGCTTGCATTAAGTATCTGCTCTGACCTCCATTTGTTGGCATTACTGTCACCAAACATTTCTAATGGCCATCTACCACCTTTAAGGAATGTTCAACCTTTAAACAGCTTCAACTCTGACAGGTGTTCCAGAAGAATGTTGGTCTGTTATAAACTAAAATGACTCACATGAGGAAAAGCTTTAGTCATATGTCGGGTATGAACCTATGTCATGGATGGATGGATATCAAAGCTGAGAATGACCCACAATACCAGCACAGCCAGCTAACTGATAACACCAGATAATTTGCATGATTTGCATACCGACACTGAAGTAACGTTTTTACAGTTGGACAGAACTTTGGTCACGACTAAATCAATCCAACACAGAGACAGATATCCTGGAAAATAGCCTTATGAAACTTGTTCAACAGGTCATATGTGGAGCTTAGTTTAGTAGTTGTGACTTTTCCAATTAAAAAAAGTCAGCGTGAGCATTTTAGCACAGATTTTCCGTAACAGGACACAATATCAATTGTTGCAATTGCTTTCCTGCGTTCCATTTTCGTCCAGGTTTCCGTGTTTTAACATAACTTTGCACTCCAGTGTCGTGTCTAGACAATTCACCTTCCAGCAACCTAATGGATGTCAGCCAATGAAAAGTAACCCTGTATGCTCAGGCCACAGAGAAATAGAAAGGCGTAAGATGGACATATAATACTCAACTCCTGCGCTCTGGGATGGAGGACAGGGAAAGGTTACAAAAGCGCTGGGTTTTCTCCCACAACCAGGAGGATGATGACCACTGAAATGCAGGAAAATACATTGTGCAGCTACTCCACCACACCAAACCCACTAATGTTTCTAAAAACTGAGTGATTCTTGAACCAGTCCACAAAATGACACATTGTGTTTTACAGAAAAGCCAAAACAAGAAGCTGTGCTGGTAACATGGAACCGGGTTTTAAAGGCTTAAAAAGAGGCCTTCTTATTTTTCATAAAAAGAAGAAGGCTTTTAACATAACGTGTCAGAAAGACGTCAACTAATTGATGCTCACTAAAAAACTAAATGATTTACGGCAGACAAGCATCAATAAAATGCATTCTGCTCTAAAACAAAAGGGACCAAAAAAAGACAAATCATGCCATGACAGCAATATGATAAGTCATTAAAATGTGTCCTGTGAGGATGGACATTTAAGGACTTATCTCTCAGCACACATGTTTGACACACATAGAAAGAAGCCTCTGTGCTTTTGGCTGCTCAGCACCAGAGAACCTTTACATTATCCTGCCCTCTGTGGATTTCACTGTCACTGCAGTCCAAAGCATCCCAGCATTACACTTGACTTGAGGAAGAGCTGCCCTGGTGACATAATTGGATCCTACAACCAGAAGCTGCAATAACCAGCCTTCTGAACTAAGGATGCACAATTTTAGCCAGATGCTTGATCGATGTGCGACCACCTTCTTTATTCTTGTGCCCTCACTGCTGCATGCACCTCCATCGACTCTGAATAATTCATGAATAATTCACATTTTTCTGTGTGTACACTTTGACGCCAGTTGTCCGAGAAAAAGGATGGAATTGTTGAAAAAATAACTGCCTACAAAACCATCTCTGTGGCTTAATTAAAAGCTACCAGTGCTGCAAAGCCCCTATACTTCCCAACATGAGACTTGTGGA